TTTTCAGTGATGGTCCACGATTCATGACCGTAGGTAAGTATGGGGATAAAGATCGACTTGAATATTCAGAACTTAGGTTTCAGACTGTCACCATGCAACTTTGTCGAAAGAAACAGGACTAGAGTAAATAAATATTATTATTAAAATGTATTATTTGGCACGTTTACAAAACGAGGATTAATTCCTTTATTGTTGCTTTCGTCTAATTGCTGAATGCTATAGGAAAATCTTGGCATGCAAAATAATACCGTGATCATGATAATGTGCCAGTAAACAATTTGTTAACGACAATCGTAAGGTTTAATCATTCCTCGCCAAGAGTTGATAACTTTTAATCATTCCTTGCCAAGAGTTGATAATTTCATTAAAAACATGTAATGTTTTTTCACTTCTAGCTACTGCTTCTAGTAAAATGCTACTTCTCCTCAATAACCTCCATTTATTTCATCGACAAATTGAAACTGACTTGTTTTGCCATAGTTTTTCGCCTAATCGCCAAACAAAACTTCTGTGCAATGATGAGTCATGGCTAATAACCGGTTCGGGTCGGTCCGCAAATATACCGTTAAGAGAATCATTCGTGCAAACCAATACACTGGACTATAGGAAAAGTTGCAACGCATCTTCTCTCAAAATAAAGGCCAAAATTTCCTATATTTTGGCGTCTGCCATGTGTCGATTCGCACCAGTATTATAGAAGCAACGTCTACGTTAATGAGACCAGTGGCATGTAGGTTGCAACCTGAGCAAAAAAAGAACCCTTGTCACTGACAGAAACGCTTTGTTTACTCGCAAGCAGTACACGTGTCATATATTTGCTATACAAAACAGTATACAATACAGTTCATTTCTTGTATTGTGCCACGGCAGCATGAATTTGCGGTAACTTATGCTTCCTACGCTAAGTTAACTTGTAGAATGAGGATTATTTTAATCATAACTGTGAAATTTGAAACATTACAAGCAATGCAGATTTTCTACCTGTTGTCTATTCACGTTACATTCTCACACTCTGGCCAGTCGACATTCATTTTCTTGCAATGATGCCTGACGCTCTTGCGCCGGAGTCAACAACCGAATAATACTTATCATTAATTAGATACTTCTACTGCTTTGCATACAATTATTTTATTTACACTTCGTTGGTAGTTACCGCGTTTTAATCCGTTGCATTATTTCGATAAAAATACTAAAGTACGATAATGCCCCATTCAGCATCTTTCATCTGATTGAAGAGCTTAACAGAATATTCACAACAGTTACTGTCGCTCTTCAACCCAGAACAAACCTGAGGGTCATTGAATGACGTTGCGTTTTCCGTGACTCAGTTGTTTACTGACTGAGTGATTGCAATAAATAGAGCTTGAGATATCTTCAAAGAAAGCACAAAAGTTCCCTCCCTAAACTTGTCTACTTTGTGAACATAAAGCGATGCGTTATGAACTAGACCTAGAGAGCAAGCGACCTACGCTGAACGGATGCAAGAATGAAACGGAGAGTAGGCAACATACCAAAATGGAAACACCATTGTGTCGCTTCTCGTAACTGAGGATCAAACATGTTGCTATTATTACCATAATATGAGAATTTATTTCCCAGCGGTCATGTGACAGAAAGAATCATACAGGCTGTATAACGGTGGCTGATCAAGGTAGTTAAGCCGACACAGCGTCTAACTCATATCTGAAGAATCCATTAGCTCAAATCCTGAGGATAGTACGAAAATTAAATGTGGCAACACGCTTGATGACGCACATCAGCGCTGTACTGACATCTAAACGCAAAAGCGATGTTACAACTGCAGTCGCTCCATCACCACCCGGGACAGTTTTGCTGCCAACGTTAGCCGCAGGTTTGACAGCTGTTTTTCCCGTTGCATGCTAGTAAAGGGAGTGTTCAAGAAAACGACATCTGCGTCGAAACGCCTACAAACCACAGTATCGTTAATTAAGCCCGTGAGATACGAATCAGAGCAGGCATTGGTTTATGGTCGCAAAGACTAATTGTATTCAGTTGGGCAAAATAACATCGTCTCCATGCAGTATTTTCAGAATGGTAGAATTTTACAGATCACACCTAACTCCTCCAAGACCAGATTTCATGACCAATCGCATCAGTACCCTGCTCCTAGTTGCCCAGTGAGGCTAATTTCCTTGAGTGATGCGTTATATGACAGTTTCGGCGTGCGAACACATTCTGATGCCCATGTGGTAGCATGTAAGGAGCACCAGTACTTAGAACACAGTTAATGATGAGTGCGACATGGCTTTCGCGGATAAAGTGATGCGAGAATACCACGAAACTGCGACCTGCCTAAATGACCCTCTCCCCTCCCAGAAGAAACTTTGAGCAAGACGTCCGTACAGTCTACGCATTTATGTCTATGCAAAAGAATTTACATTAAATGAGCACTAACGTTCAAATGAAACTTTTACTGAACTGGTTGTACAATCTGCTGAACAACTGCAAATAAGAACCTCTACAAGTTCTGCTGTGAACCTGCTGAATAGCGTATGAACGTGAGAATGATCGTTTCGTGAAAGACACAAGCGTGCAAATGATGTGCAGGCTTCGAATGCAAACTTTCATTGCCAGAACGGAATCTTTCGTAACAATTCAAACCCGGCAACTTTCACAATTGATATAAACAAAAACTACTGAAAATGCAACAAACGGGACACAAAACAATAAAAAGTAACGCTAACATGCAAATCGCTATATAAAATAAAATTTTCAACAAAAGCGGGTTAAAAATCTTTCACACATTTTTGATATCCACCAGTGTGCAGTGACCTTAAAGTCTGACAGGTAAAATAAGAGTTTAGTTCATCACCATCGTCATCAGAACGTCCATCGGTTTGGGGGTATTCGCTTATGTGCAAGATACGATGGCTGTTTCACCGGATATTCTACAGCAGCAAAGAGCATGTTTGACAGTAGACCGTTATCATATAAGCTCTTCACCCGCGGCTAAGCGCCAGACGAAGGTCACACGCTACACGTTACAGACCTAACGGTCGCCACAGGTCCGTTTAACGCCTGGAGCAAATCCATTTATGGTCACAAAGGGCTGCTGCATGAGAAAGACATGTTCGTCACAGCAGTACTATGTGGTGATATCCGACGATCCGCAACCATACTGGTACTCCATGAAACACCTTTCCTCGTCGCGGTTAAGATTTGTGCCTCGTTCGATTTCCTTCTTTTTTACTAAATATACAAAGTTGAGAAATTCTATAAGCTTGGAGAAAAAAACTGTTGTGAAAAATACCTGAATATTTGCCACCCCTGTTTCTGTAGAACACATAAAGTACCAGGATTACTACGACTGCTACAGTCCCAGCCGAAACAACGGCAATGAACCAGGCGATGCCGGTGAGACTTTTTTCTAAATCATCACCATCTCTGTTACGATACAAAACGCTTGTGCATCGCATTCATTTGTACCTATGGTGACAACCTGTCCCAGAATGGTGGTATTTACCGTCCTGAAAAACTGAGGGTCCGACTCCGTATATCTGTCGCCATCACTTGCAATCAATACAGCTGTATAGTCGAAATTAGGCTTCAGCTGTTTAATAATCAGTCGATTTTCCGGAATTGGCACCAAATCACTTGTCTGCCAGATACCAGAGCCTAAAATTTCATAGTTAATAACTGCATATATAAAAACAATTTAGAAGCAATTATAGTTGAACCTATTATGTTCGACACGAGACATAGCATTATATTCAACTGCAAATATGGAGATTCCAAGGTTACTCAGATGAAATAATGGACACACTAAACTTTACGAACCCGTGTTTAAAATGATGAATCGATTTCTCCTCTTAAAAAAGTACAAAGATGAGAACAACATTAAACTTTTCAGTGATAAATGCACAAACTGACGAATGCAATAATTTTTTGAATCAAAAGACAGATACAAAAATAAGTGAAAGACGGAACGATAAGCACTTTTCATGTAACTCAGTTCAGCATGCAAATAGACCTATCACTACCAGAAAAACCAATACTAATTACATAGTACCAAATGATCGTAACAAACTGAATAATGATAAAGTCCTGAACTGCGACAATCGTCATCACATCTTTGAGAGGGTGCCTCTGATGTTCTACACATGCCAGACTGCAATTTGCTGAAGAGCTACAACCATGGATAACCCTACAGATTAAAAAGCAAGGCTTCTTACATCACCCCAAGCTAGAATACCTCTAACTATTTATTAAAACGTATCTGCTGTTGTGAAAAATTATAGTTTATATATCTTCCACCTAATCATTAGGAGAGACTGTTAATGCGTGTAGGATGCCCTGGTCACTGAGCTTCATAATACCATCTAAATACTACGCAGTAATATTCGAAATGAGTCAGGTTTGACGAGATTTTGCGAATACCTAAAAAAGAAACGCTGCTCAAAATCCAATTTCGGCATCTCCATTCCAGAAAACATATAATGGTAAAAGTAATGGAATATATAACATGTGAAATATGGCTACACATTGCTACTACAGCAATCGTGAATGTCTGCTAGGAACTCCATAAGAGGTATTGGTCAAAGAGGCAACTGAAATCAAAGGTTGACAGAACTTTTTATGCCTTTGATGACAGTTATCTTCGGAAGATGGACATTCACACCATGGCCAAAGGATAAGAATACACATTGTCCCGATCAACAAAGGATTCATTGAAGGATATTTTAATTATGCCTCAGCAATCCGAATGGAGAATGAGGTTTTATAAACAAGACGAACGGAAGATCCCGATGATTGCTGATGGAAGGTCTCAGTATATAGAAAAATTTAACACTCTCCCATCTGGTGTAGTAACGACACCAAAGCTGGCAAAGATATGCCGACATACGCCTGAACGGAGGATAACATCCATCATTGTCGTCACTGACTGCACAGAGAAATGTACATAAAGAAGGTTTCTGAGAATGAATAAAATATGCACCTAAGTAAGCAGCAATCACAGGTCTCTGCAAGAGAAAAGAGGTAGAAAAATTCAGAATGATTTGATAGTGACGTTTCCTCTAATCAGACTCACCGTAATGTAGGCAACGGTCATCTTCGCAGTCTTTTTTTGGTACAGATTTTTGTTCTGAACTTTGGCAGATGTTGTACCACGTACGTATGCGTACGTATGGCGGACTACCACTCCAATTCACATGATAATCATATCCTCAATAGCATTTTGGGTAATTTTTTTATCAATATTACGCGCCAGCTACATAAGAAGATTACCTAAATCCAACCGTTCCTATCTTCTCCTATATTTCGTTCACATTAACTAACGCTGTGAATAACTATGCAAGTGATCACATCATGTTATACTTTAACGTTGTATCGCCCCCTTGCCCTTAGACGTCTAGTGGACTACTTAAGCATATTACCGTTCCACCACGTTTGAGCACCGACAGTACGTGAACGCGACACTGCACCAGTGAGTAGGATACGAACAAGGAATGTTCGCAAATCATCTCGAAAACGTGAGTCAAGCAATATACATGCTCATTCGTAACATACGTTATTTAAACATCACCTTTACCATTTATGTCATGTATATAAACAGTTGTTCTTGCATAGCATTGACACTGAAGATCATCTAATTTCATCAGTAAAGTTTTGCTCAAGGAAAACAAGCTCCGCCTCGGCAACACCTTGGATATCATTATGAGCGCGCTAGAACGCTAATAAGACGGCGGCGTCTTAAATTTCTTGGATGTAATTTTCTTAAACCCGGTACAAGTTTATGACCAGTCGTACTTGATGTTCTTTTTACAATTATTTCGAAAATGAACTGTCAGTTTGTCCATCTCATTGGTCTCTACAGGATCTATCAATCGAAGTTTGAATCCATTAGACATCAATAACAAGATCTTCTTGATATCAACGAGATCTTGATATTTCACGCTCAGCTTGACCTTCCTTCGAATTTCCGGCACCATATAAATTTATAATATTGACTGCCAGTACATTTATTCGCATGAACAATAATATGTTCAAGTAGGAGCAACAGGCGAATGACTCCAGAAAGGAAGGCTAAACAACTGTTCCTTGCAAATCCGACCGGCAGAAGGCCCAGGGGACGGCCAAGATTAACCTGATGTAAATATATGGAATGTGTCTCTTTCAGACTCCAACTGTCTTCTGCCGAAACTCAGACTCTGACACAGGATCGGGAACGTTGGAAGCTCTATCTGACGCGTCAGCCTCCGCGACCAGGAAGAAGAAACGGCGATGGAAGATGAAGATGAAGTATGAGCAAGCTCCGCAGATTCATTAATTTCTTCGTGCGCTAGTGTTCATAACTTCGTGAAAACTTAAAAATGCATAAAAACAGTTAATTTAAACGCACGAAGACAACGCAGACGAAGAAGCTAGTAATCGGGTGACTGATCAGTGATGCCGCTCTTATGTATCTTATGCGCTTTCTTTAAGGTGGTCCGAGTTGCCTTCTGCAGTTGGTTGCGTGGTCCGCAAATCCTATGTCGCTTGGAGTCAGATGTGGTTTTTGGCCCTAGCTGCCGGTTAAGTAGCTTTCCAATAACGGACTTTATAAGGCTTGTTCAATCAGTGCAGAGTCCTCATCCTTTGTCCCAGCTGACAATTTTGCAGGATGGGATAATCAAGGGTTCTTCGATTCGTATGGCTTAGCCACTTCCTTTCTTTAACCATGCCGGCGTAATCCAATCATTGAGGAACGTGACCCTTTCTGCTGCTTGTCGCACGATCCCTGAAACCTTTTCAACGGTACTTTGACCTTATTGGAAATGAGGGTTTGTTTTCTAACTCGATTCTCTGTTGCCGCATGTAGTTTGCGTTCGTCTGCGGTCATCCATCCTCTCCAGTTTCATTGGTGATGTTTTGTTCTTTGGGTGATCGTGCCTGCGGTTTTTCCTCTGTGGTATTTCCCACGGTTGCAAGCTAGTGTGTAAATCCAACGTACAGAGTTGCTATTATCAGAGTTAGTAAATAAGGTATTCAGTTTATTGGAGCTCTCATGTATAACAATAACACTGTATTTAGTGTTACGTCGTCTCTGTAACTTTGCACTAAATTTTTTTTTGATACGGCGATATTAAACCAAGTTTATTAGTTCTTGGAATATCGGCACTGGGGGCGAATTTAAAATAACTAGTTCTACGAGTCATGGTAATATGAATGAAGTTAGCAGGATAACCATTTTTATCACATAAGACTGTCTTAATATGTATCATTTCTTCCTTGAGAAAGTTATTACTACAGAGCATAGAAACACTGTCTCTATAATAACAGACCTTTGCCATTTAGATAATCGTGCCAGTCAAAGTTCTGATAGTCATCAGTATTAGTAGGCTTAATGCTTTGGTAAGTCACAAACGAGAAGACAACGTATACAATATTGTTTAATTAAGTCCATCTGACGTTTCAGACCAAGCCCGGTCCGTCTTCAGGGCACAAACTGCAAAAATTCCGACAGTCCAAGAAATAATATTTCGAATAATAAAGCTTACTTAATTCTACCGCATCATCAAAATTTTAATGAAAAATTACAACGATTACCTGGCATTAAATACAATAATAATGTCACATATAAGCTCCAATAAAATTAATACATTGTTAACCAACTTTGGTATTGACAACACTTTGAGTTGGATTTACAAACTACCTTGAGACAGTTGAGACAGTGAGAATTACTACATCGGAGAAACCCAAAAATCAGAAGATCACCTGTCAACTGGAGCAGATGGATGACTGCAGAAGGAACGCAAATGACATATGCAAAAAGACGTCCAGGCTTAAAACAAACCCTTCATCCAAGCAAAATCAAAGAACAATGTTAAAAGGTCTCAGAAATCTTGCAGCGTGCAGCAAGAAAACACCGTGTCCCCCAAAGAACAGATTGCACAGGAATCGTTAAAGAACGAAACTGACTGAAAAAAACGCATGAAAGAAACCCAACCAACTGTTTAATTGCAAAAACGTCAACCGGGACAAAGGATATAAACACCTTCAGGACTGGTCAAGCCAGCAACCTAAACAATACTTAAAGAGCAGCAGGAGCCAAATTCACACCCTTGCGTCCAGTCGCGACGACAACTGTGTACCACACAACCAACGGCAGAAATCAACCTGAACTACATCCTGAATAAACTAGTGAAAGATAAGTCGAAACGTTGGTACCGGTCAATCATCGAACTGACCAACTTATTTGTTTGGTTGTGTATAAATAAACTGTTTGATGCACTTTTCGATTTTCATGAGAAATAGCTGTCAGAACAAAGGATAAGCGGTTATTATGGAGAGGGACAATCAAGAAACATATTTCAAAGAATGCAACATTTACAGGAAAATGATATTTGCCCGGAGAATACTGTGAAAGACATATGTTGCAAGAAGGAACATTATAATATCAAGAATATGAATGAAGCAAAACAGGTAACCAAAAACGCTACGGTGAATATGACGAATTTTAGAATCAACTTTATGAGGTAGCAAACTGCAACCTTACCAATCATTGAGTAGTTCACCATGAAAGCTGTTCCTGGCAGACCAATTTCTGACGGAATCCACGTGACTTCAACGTCGCTTGAGCTTAATAAATTGAGCTTCATCTCGGGTTTCCCTGGGTCTGAAATAAAATAGGCTAGACGTGCAACAAAAAATCACAACGTGGAAGAACAAATTACTTTCGTAGCCCCAAGTTTTGACCATCATCGATGTCTTCGCCCCCTCGCCTCCGCCTGTTTCTGCCCAAACCGACACAATGTATGCGGTGTCCGCCTTTGCCGATTCAAAAAGATGACTCGATCGAGGGTACGGAACCCATGTTTCCTCTTCCTTGTCATCGCTGTTGTTCTCAGAAGCTGAAAGAAAATCAAAACTAAAATAATAAATATAAATTGTACAGAAAACTTGAACGAGAAAAAAACGATACATCAGAAGACGGTAAAAGATAGGTTAAGCAATTCGAACGCCGATTGGATCCGGTGATTGCTACAACTTCGCATTCAAGGTCTCCTTCTAGAAAGAGCGAATAAAATATCTGTCATATGGCTTGACAGTGGTCCGTGCCAAGAATGCGATTTAAGTGCTAACGAGAATATATAGAAACTTCTACTGCATATCTATAATGGTATAGAAAGCAAATTGAACAAACCTTACGAATGACAGATACAACAGGCAGATGGACATTTGCAAAATTGAAATAATCAACGCACCTCATAATTTATTTTCCCGTTAGCTTGCTTCAGGTATCGTGCAGAGACATATAGCTGCATGCAGTATATTCACACGACAAAGTGCACTCAGTGGACTAGTTATTCATAACTTCATTCAGACGTTCATTCATCCACTCGTTTATTCATTAAGTCATCTGTACGTGCCTTCTATAATTCATTCATTCACAACGTTTAAAACCGTTTTCAGTTTTGGATTAGAAAAGAAACAAATATGTAACTCATTCATTCATAGTTCCTAATTCAAATAAACATAACGAACAAAAATATTTTTACATCGTGCATTAGTGTCCTGACGATTTAACTGTTGTCAGCAATAAAATGCGATGGTAGGAACAACTAAGAACATTGCTTTTGCCCATACTTATTTAAAGTTGGCTAAACCTACAAATGAACAAGTCAGATCTTCATTTATCTGCGTTCCAATCGATCCTCATTCTTGCACTTGATTACGATCATGAGTCGCAGGCTATGGGTGAAAAACATTGAATTCAAGTACAATCGGCAGAAGCGGGTTTTCTGAGACTATTCGGCGGGCTGACGCGTATCGAAATAGTCCGCATTACAATCGATGGCCTTTGTGTATAGCCGCTGTTTCTTCAGACTGAGAAGTCCTAGTTGCGATGGTCTGGACACATCAGACGAATACCTCCAGAAAAGAAGGCAAAGAATCTATTGATTTCCCAATAACCCGGCCAAGATTAACCTGAGCAAGTCTCTGAATACTCTCTGCTTCAGACTCAGGTTATCTAAATATTGGTACAGCATCAGGAGCGCTGAAAATCTTGTCTGATGCGTCTGCCTTCGCGACCTGAAAGGGCAAGTGGGTGTCGAACCTAGCTAGCTGACTGACTGACTGATTGATTGACTGGCTGACTGACTGACTGATTGATTGACTGACTGACTCACTGACAGACTGACTCACTGACTGACTGACTGACTCACTGACTGACTGAATCACTGACTGACTGACCGACTCACTGACTGACTGACTGACTGATTGATTGACTGACTGACTCACTGGCTGAGTGACCCACTGACTGAATGACTGACCGATTGACTGACTGACTGACACTGAATGACTGACTGACTGACTGAATGACTGACTGACTGACTGATTGAGTGACTGACTGACTGACTGACTCCCTGACTGACTTACTGACTAACTGACTGACTGGCCTACTGACTGACTGACTGACTGACTGACTGACTGACCCCTGACTGACTGACTGACTGACTGACTGACTTACTGACTGACTGAGTGACTGAGTGAGTGACTGACTGAGTGATTGACTGACTGTGACTGACTGACTGACTGAGTC